TAACAAATATACATACAAATCACATCGTAAACAAACCTCACCAAACAAATATAATTTACGACTAAATAACAGCTTCAGCGCAAAACACAGCAAAATACTCCAGCTCCAAAACCCTGCTGATGTGCTTGGTATGGGGTGTTGTATTCTGTGCATCGCCAGGTGCTTTATTAAGTTTGTCTTGTTCCTCACCTGCTCCCCTCCTCTACTTCTCTCCATTTAGAACCAAGTGGATACCACTACAAGCTGTTGCTCCCAGGACGGCCCAGCTCCCCACTCGGACATTTGCTGCCTTTTCCGGTGTTTAACTACTTTCGCATAATATAAGGCCACACTTTTGGCTTCTTGTTGTCATGTCGACTCCAGTTTGAGATAGCTAGTATTTGTAGGCTACATACTGAGAATGTGTTTCCACCAGAGTTAATGTTAACTAGGCACATGCAGTGATGTTTGTTTCCCATAAGCAGGGCAACTATTTCAGTAAAGAGCTCAGGCACCAAAATGAGGCACCAAATTCTGTTTTATGATAGGTACCAAATGAGTAGGACCCAGTTTCAGTACCCAACTAGTAGTTATTAGCTACAGAAATGTAATAATGTAATGTTTGATTGTTAAAATTGAAACAGATGGTGTGTTTACATTAGGTGCAACGTTAACCACAGTGTGAGTATTACTGATAAGAAGATACATTTTAGATGTTCACCTCAATGGCTGGTGAGACTGTGTCAAAAAAAACACCGTAGTCGTCAGGGTTGATGACTGCCATGATTTTTGTCACGTCTTGCATCGTCTTTAGCTGTGATGGAGTTGCTGCCAAGTTGGCCAGCTGATCGAGGCTGAGAAGATCTGCAACCTCCACCTAGAAGTGCAAGCAACATTTCAGTGAGTGAACACCAACAGTGGAACTTTGACCTTTTATGGCATGTGTTAGTCTGGTTAGGTTAGCACTAGACCTTCCATGTTACACAGTGAGCTGACTTAAACCCTTCACTGATGGAGTGCCCAATCTAAATGCCTGTTTAGAACAGGCTGTTTACTTAGCAGGTGGTAATTTTAATTCCAGCTGTCTGTCTGAAACTGTAAAAGTTGGCTCTCCGTAATGTAGCTAAAAGTTGCTAGATTGCATAATGACGTCACATGTTATGCAGATACATCTAAGTCCCATACATTGCGTTGCCGACCGGCATCCTATTCTCTTGCAAGTTCGATATGTTGTTTGGTCATTGATTATGTTTTTGGTGGAGTTTGGGTTGGGACATGGGTGATGAAGGGGTGAATTTTGTTGTATTCATTATTATTTTTTTATTTATATTTTTTATCATTGAACCATAACTGATTGACCCTTTTGTGTGTTTTTAGTCGCTAGTGAGGGTGAAAGATGCTAAATCTAGCGATAAAGTCACTAAATTGGAACACTCGACTCAATAGGCTTAACAGTAGAAATGTACCGTTTGGCTCTGACCTCTTCCTAATTGAATTCACGTTTATTTGAATCCCTTTAAATAAACATGTTATAGCCTCGTCTACTTACTTAGACTTCTCCTTCTTCTTCAAACTTTGCACTGTGTAAAAATAAATAAGCATCCACTGTGCCAGGATTTAGGCGAGTCTGCCTCGCCTCAATGATATGCTAAGTTGAGCTGAATGAGTGCTTGCTTGCAGTGCTCATAGCAGGAATGAGATTCTCTAAAATGTTCACATTTTAGAGAATGTAATTAATATTTTCCATGTTAATGATGCATGAGGCCTATTTCACCCACCCACACTAATCCGGAAATGTTTTTTATGTACAACATATGTTGCAGAGTGAAGTTAAACTTTGTGTTTATCATGCCTGGCTTACCTGCAATGCATATTTTCATAAAATTAAACTGAATTTGCTTTATTACGTTTATCACGTGTGGCATAAATATAAGTTTAAGTTTAAGTTTACTGGTGTTATTTTTTCATACATTGCATGTCGACTCAGAGGTTTTTTAAGCTATCAACACAATCTTCACACCCAAGTTCAAGTTCACAACTTTTCAAAATAGAAACTCTGCAAGTGTAAAGCATTGCAGCAACAAAATGAACATTGTACTTTTACTTTGAAGACAAATTGCCAAACAGGAATTAATGAGTTAACGAATGTTGTTGTCATTAAAGAAACCAGCACCTATTGCATCAGTCTAATATGGTGAACTAATAAAAAAATGATGTGGCGGTGATATTGACTTGCGGTTTGACATGGTAGCTGGCTGCTATCGTAGTTTCTGAGGACGTAGGAAGACATTCAAGAAGTGGTGACCATTATCTTCAATTATTTTGGATTTGGATGCAAAAACAGTTTTACTGACTCAAAGACTTCACCCATCCCTCCATCGGCATACTGGTGAGTAGGTAAAATAAATTTTCATTTTTTGGTTCCTTTAAGAATTTTTTAATTTCTCATGTATTATGATTGAAACATAGTCCTGTCGTAAGCCTGTTATTCTTCAGTATGTGCAGCAAATGATTCCTGATGATCCTATGTCTCTGTGCAAGAGCAACAAGAATAATACAAACATATAACTTGTGCGCACAAGATTAAAAAATGTTTATCTAACCCTTCAGTGCTCCGTTCTAGCAACCATGGCATTAAAAGGAGAGTGTGAGACAACTCAATATAGCTCTGACTCTCTCTCCCCCAGTGCCGGCCACACCCATCTCCACAGATGTGTTTGTAAATTGTGCTGCCCCATACAGATGTTCTTTTGTTGAATATAATTTGACCAAAGTCAACATAAAAAAACTATACCTACATCAAATATTTTGTGTACCATATGTGCTTTTATAGAGAAAATGACTTTTAGATTAACTCTGAAAATTAGTATTTTGTCAGCCCCTGAGTGTCTTAATCATATTAGTCATAG